TCGTGAGAATGACTCCTCAAGCTGCGAACTTTAAATAAGGCTGTACCAGCTGAGAGGAAACCGAAAGCTACCAGTGCAAAGCAGGCTTCCTTAAGTTTCTGTTATGGTTTACACAATGAACATCAGAATATTAGATGACAAATCATTAGATTGTACGTGAAATGAAACTGAAATGTTTTCTAGCATCACTGGAACCTGCTGGTTTTTGTTGCCCTCCACACTTCTCCCTGGGTGGGAATTCAGACTGTATTTATACTCCTAGCCTTTGTGCACACATTTGTTGTCAGTCACTACTTTGAGTGAAATATTCTCACTCTGGCAAAATAAATAAATAAATAAAGTGGTGAAAATGTAAAATTAACATCTTTTTTTGCTCTTATGTTACCAGATAAAGCAAATAAATAAATGAATGTTATATATTCTTATTATACATTATTATAATTAATGACTCCATAGTGTAGAGTTTCACACATTTGCTTAACAAGTAAAAGATTACCTGCTTGAACTTGCGCACAGACATATGCAGAGCTACCTGCTACCAGGGAGAAGCTACAAAAAGAAAAACAAAATCAGTAGAGTGCAGGTAGGTATAGTGCTGAGTTGAGTTATAAGCACGATGATAAGAATCACGTGTTCACTAATGTTTTTTATCAGCTCTTTTTCCCACTAATGTTCACTAATGTCTTTTTTTATACACAGTGAAAACATTTTGCACATTTTCGCCACACTGTGTGCAAAAAAGTATAGCAATACAGAAAAGCCTTCTGAGTCTACCTGGGCAAAGAGGAGCATGGCGAGCAACCAGAAGGTGTCAGTGTTGCTTAACAAGAAACGCTTTCAGTTTCATTTCTCTCAGTCTTCAGGTGCACCAGTATCGATTGTACAAAACTGCAATTGAAACTTAAGATAGCGTGTTTTACAGTTGTAAGTTTTGTCTTCCCCACAAACTCTTCTGACAGAGCCACAGTCAAAGTTCGCAGCTTGAGGAGGATGACTCATTCTCACCAGCTGTTTGTTTACTGCACACATCAGCTGTTAGAGTTGTCCTTCTTCTTCAGCTACCAGCGACCACTTTAACTGAAAAGATGCTGCCACCTGAATGGATACGTATCTTTCGTATTAAAGCACAGAGTCTTAAACGAGGAGACTCTTGGTATTTAGAGTATGATGAAAATATTGAGCCTGACAACCCAGTCATGGGCTGGAAGCAGTACATCAGGAACACAGGTGCAAGGTCAGTGTGGTTTGTATATTCAGTATGGTATATTTCATAGGTTAATATATAAAAATATAGTTGCATTATAGTTGCTTACTGTGCATGAGGATTGCAACATTAAAGATGAGGGAATAAATGTAGTTGCTAACGAGGCTTAGTTCATTAAAAGTAAAAAGAATATTCCAGAGTTTCAATGATGGGAGCATATTTTTTAGACTAGCAACGCTAAAACTGAAGATGTAAGATGGAGCTGACATCATTTGTTTCCTTTCACGTCCTTGTGTGGGTGCCATCTCGTTAAAAAACAATTCGATGCAAGTTTAAACTCGTATTAAAAATAATCATATAATCACTCTAGACTCTTCTAGTAAAGTAACACATGCTCTTTTTCATTTCCAAGGTTTAAATGTTCCATGTGCAGAAGAGAATGGCCTTCCAACAAGGTGAAGGTGCTCTTCCACATGCGCCTGAAAAACGGGCAGGGCACTGTCAAGGTGAGGCCCTTACGCCAGAACTGCAAGGTGTGCTCCGAAGCTCCAATGGAGAATCCCAGCGTGGAATCTGACAATGTGCACATCCTCATGGAGAATCTGGTGGAGAAAATAAAACAAAAGTGCTACAATAAAAACCCTGGTGGACGGAATCGGTATTTCAGAAGCTTTGACGTCGACAGCCCGCATGAGCCCACACATTGTGAGGGGTGCATCAAAGGCGTGTGCACAAAATGAGCTGCTTTTAAAGTCAGCCTGTTTCTGTTCGATCATAACTTTGCATTCTTTCATTCTGTTTTATTTTATTCTTCTTTTATGTAATAAGCAGATGCACATTGTTGTATTTATCCTTTATTTGCGCTTGGTAGCAGACAGCTTTAGCTAATATATCGCTTTGTTTGTTAAAAACGTTCCTTAGCACAAAAGCTCTCATACATTTACTGTTACAAATGAATTAAATAAGTCAAGATTTAAATATGACATGAAGGTCTACAGGAGTCACTTTTCACATTTAAATTTGTACTTTCTGATTTTGTAAATAAATAATACATCTTTATGAAAAAAATAAGCATGACATTATTGTTCAAGAGAGGTGGGCAACATCTTCTTTTTTAAAGTGATTTAGAGCCACACACACAGCTGACACGTGAAGCATGACATACCATGAATTTTGGTAAATATAATACATTGTTTTACAATGAGTAATTTTTTCAAAGAGAAAAAAACACCATTCTTCAAGAAAAAATATGCAAAGATATTATTGGATTGGTATTTTAAGAACAAACATGAGCATGTTCATGAATATTAATAAGTACACTTTCTCTTATGTTACTTTTTTAATTGTAAAAAAAGGGGGGCTGAACACGTGCTGTTGTCTCAGACGATATTGTTTTCTTACAAAAATACAAAAAATGAAAATCTTCTGGAAATGTATTTTATTTCTCCATTTTTTTGTAACTCGTCAGTGCAAGAGGAGACTTTAGTGCATCATGTTTACTGATCCTGCAACTGTAGTTAAACTGCCTTTATGACGTGTTTGTAGTGCAGACAAAGATAATACAAAGAATAAATAAAAATCTGCCTTTAAATTATAACTTACTGTTTTTCATGATTTAAAAAAAGATATTCAAACATCAGTGCAAGCCCCCTAAACCTTATAACTGGTTATGTCATCCTTTGGCAGCATGAACTGCAATCAAGCATCTGTGGTAACTGCTGATGCGTTTCTTTACGTCACTGTGGAGGAATTCTGGCCCACTCTTCTTTGCACAATTGTTGAAAAAAGGAAAAGGTTATCTGATAGGAGGTTTTGCATGAAAGCAAAGTCAACCTGTTTGTCACACAGCGACACCTCTTCATTTGCCTGTGATCAGCAGGTGTGGCACTGACATCGCTGCGGTCAGTCCTCAACATTTTTCGAGTCACACACTGAGGTACATTAACTGTGGTTTATCTGCATGTTGTCTGAAAACACCTACAGGCAAAGCACTTGCCAGCCTTTAGTTTTGCCTGCTCCACAACTTTTCCATGGGTTTGTCCACATCACGTTTTGTTTAGTGACATTATGTATATCTTGGCCATGAAGGCTGACTTTAGACTTGCGAGAGTTACTTTCCCAGATAAGTAGAGACACACTTTAGGACTGTAGGCGCTGACTAATAGGGCTGACAGCAAAATTTTTTGAATGTGTCCATTTTTGAGAAGATTAGTATTCACGAGTATATCAAAGAACAGTTTCCAAAGCAGCTGGAATACAACAATTTCACTTTCAAAATGGTAAGGTATACCTGCATTGTGTTTATGTTGTGTTATTCCTTAGGTTCAATACAGCACCACCAATTCAATACATCCTCTGTTACTTTATTTAAACATTTCATCATTTAACCATCAGACCTTTTGATTGTACTTGCTTTTATTCAAGGGTCTCCTGTCATCAATCAAGTCTACACTGATTATTTCCCTCAGTATCTTCATGCCAGGTAAGAA